TCCAGCTCTGCAATTTCCATGGAATGGAATGCAATGGCAGATGGCATTTCATTAATTTCGCTTTAACAAGCTCATGAGCTTGTTAAGGCGTGTATCCACATTGCGACGCCGCTTGTTTAGGAATGTGCAGTTGAAAGTGAGCCACGCGAAGCGTTGGCTCGCAAACAGCCTCGTGTTGTCGATACACGTCTTTATTTTAACACTTATATATAGAACGCCATGAGGTAGGTTTTTTCGTCCGAAGTCAAACGTAGCTAAAGGGGATGTAGTTAGTGCGTTCTATTGGACACGGATGTTAAGGATCTTTCGAAAGGACTGGGCTTGGATGAATGCCATAACGCTGCTGTTAAAATCCAGCAAATCCGTACAATCCTTTGCGTACCGTGCGTCCGTTGCGTGCGTGCATATACAGTGGAAGTATTTGTGTTACGTATTTATATTATAACCATAGAGTGCGATCGGGTGTGACACGAAACAATGAATATATATGATTAGGATTGCGAAAGGTCATGGGTTCGAGTTCCATCTCACAGTGTTAGGAACAATGTGGATTTTTTAAGCATTTTTCATTAAGAATATTTTGCAGTACAGCATCGTGAGTGCAAAATTAATTAAATTATTAATTTTATTTACATTATATTAAATTACATTATATTAATTTAAAATGCTTATTATGAATACGTTTTAATTAATCATAATAAAAGTATATATATAGGGGAAGTTTGGCACCATTCGTACACGGGGAACCTTCATACAGTCACTACTACATCTTGTAGAAAAGCCTATTTATTACGACTTTGTGTTAGTGGATAGGCGCCGGCGACTGCCAGTTGTCCAAGAAGTTAGCCACACATGCAGCCACTGCGAGCGAAACTAGAGAACTTAAAGTGTTTTGGCATGCTCATAGTAAATATTTTGTTAATGTTTTTGGATCTTCCGTGCTTTAATCATAGGTCAAATTTTATTGAATTATTGCTTAATCGTAAGTGAATATGACTAAGATAATAATATATATCTATATTGTGTATTTTTCTACGTGGGTTTTGTGTTAGAAAAAATAATTTTATTATTGATCTTCGGGGCACGTTCGTACATTTCCAGAAAGGGCACATTCGTACGCGTATGTGTGTACCTCCCCTAACAATTTTTATTATTATATCAGAAAATTTAGAAAAAATTATCGGAATTTTAAGAAGAAAAGGCAGACACGTTCCCAATATTAATTAAATGAGTTTTTTTGCGTCCGTAAAAGATGTTTTTAAATAGTAAAAAACAAATTGTTTTACTGAAAAGATTAACCAATTGAAAAAGTTCATAAACACATTTCGGACTCACGATATTGGAAGTCACAACACTATAAAATGATTATGATAAAGTTTTGAAATATAAATGTTTGCAAAATTGTTATGAAACTGGCTTCGCTGATATAGAATAGATGCACGGTTTTCGTAAAAAGATAGTTAGATTCTAAGCTTATATGTTGTTTAGTTTATCACTTCGTTGATAAGTTTATGATCAATGAAAACGATTTTTTTAATTCATTTGTTGTTTTACTTAATATATATGCAGTTACCACACTGTCTGAATGTTCCCCGGCCCATGTACGATCGTACCCCTTAATAGGGGTAGATTCGGATATTTCATTAGCTTTTAGTAAAATTCAATCCTTTGATATATTATACAAGATATCGACTTTGAACTTTTTAAATAAGGAGTAGAAAGTATGCTTTATGTTTCAATAAGAAATTGAGTAATTTATCTGTGATTATCAATATTTTAAAAATCATTGACTAAAAAGTGTACGAATGGTCCCAATCTTCCCCTATATATATATATATATATATCTATTAGGATAACAAAAACACATTTTATAAATTTGTTTAATTTTAATCCTTTTCGATTCTTATTTTGGAATAAAATTATTTACTACCACTAATAATCTTTTGAATCTTTTGATAATATCCAATTGTGATATAACGACAAAGCCCGGTAAATTTTAACAATACAAAATCGGAGCCAATCACACAATAGAAACCAATCAGCTTTATAGCACTTCGCCGAATTAATTTTCGTGGAAATAGAGCTAGAAATGGCGACAATCAACATATAAAATTAGTGCAAACACAGACAGTTAACACATATAACAACTAGGGACATATGAAATGTGCAACTTAAATACCGTTATACAAATATTAATAAATATCACATTATATTCTCAAAATAAGTTTAAGTAATAAACCATATACACAGAATGAACGGAGCATGGGATAAATTTTGGTTTTTCGCATTATAAAATTGTACTTGGCCCTATAACTGAGGATATAATAAGGTCTATAAAAGAGCGACATTACCCGCCTGTTGAGAATTTATTCTGCTCGCACTGCAAAAGAAGATAATACGGCCACCGCCACTGTGTTTTTTTTTACATCAAGGATTTGTGTCCACAGAAGAGGAAAAGAACATCAAAGCATATATGGAAAAGAGAACTGAAAGATCCGGAAAACTCGCAATTATAATTAGCTTGACCGCACTCATTCGTTTTCCGTGTTCGGTATCTTGCAGAGCAACCACCTCTCTCACTGTAATTTTAGTAATAACTATATAAAAAAATGATTTTATTAAGAAATATCCTATATGGTTACAATAGTTTTTGACTTTCAAGAGATGCATTAACATTATCTTTATGAATGAATATGCCCATTGTATACCTATGCACAAATATGCATAAAATATGATACTGTGTTCGTTACTATAAATCGTATTTACGTTTTTTTTTTCTTTTTTGTACCTTCTAAAATCAGAGATAAATTACAAAAAACATGCCTAAAACGCAGCTAGTTAAATGTATGATATATGTATCTAACTATACCTACACGGAGTTTAATGACCGTTTTTGTCGACATACCTACAGTTTGTTTAATACCAATAATGTAACCTACGAATAAATAAACATGATGTTTATTAATATAAATAAAATGTGCATTCTAAAATTTAATGGAAATATAAATGATCTTCGTTATTATGTTGAACACAGTTTATTTTTGTATTTTATGAAATTATTCCTATATGTTTTTAAACCTTTTTTGTGTTCTGTATTTTGTGTTATAAATATTTATAAATCATTCTAATAACCATGATATCCGATTTAATTATTGTTACAGGTTCCATCAAGTACTCAGCGGTATTACTGGACAACGAGGAAATTATTTTCGTCAATCAGGTCAGTTTCATCTAATAAATTAAATTAAGATTATATTAATAAGTTTATAAACTAAACTAATTTTAAAACATCTAATTGAAATTTGAATTATTTTTGACATAATTACATAATAGTAGACACAAAATAACTAATGAAAAGAACATTTAGGTTGTGTAATAATATGTAGTTAAAACATTCGCCCGATTAGGCGGGTAGTTTTATAAAAGAATTTTGCCATTAATGTCGCAGCCAACTGGATAAAACAGCCGTTCAATTTGGCGGCTAGTCACTTTATTGGATGTCGCTTTACAATTATACACCTAGTTTTTTAGTTGAAACATTATGATATTTGGACCGTTCAAATTGACGGCTGATTTAAAAGCCACTAAAAGGTTCATTTAGTTTTGTTTTCTATTAAAAAAAAAGTGTAGCATCAAACTTCGATATCGTAATAAACATATATGGCGCTGAGGCGGCAGCTTAACCAACTTGCGATATGGGTGAAACGTTCATATTGACCTTTAAAACCCATTCGCGTAATGAGTAGTTTATTATTATATTTTTGATCAGTCGTGTATCTGCTCTAAACGAGGAGTTTTTGAGTTTTATATAAAACCACCCGGTACAATATTCATTTTATTTTTCTTCTGTACTGTAGAACATTGCGTTCACCTACTCGACTAACGGGTATGTAATAGAGTATCACACAGAAATATTTTTTTATGTCCATGTTTCTTTAATTTGTTTAATTACATTTACCTTAATTCAATGAAACAATAAAAATAAATTCCTACAGACTGCCTAAACATACACTCTAGGCAGGGGTTCCCAAACATATGTTGTCTACTGCCTACTTTAACTATTTCACCTACTTAAAAACCAGTATAACTTCAAATTACATAAATTATTAATTAGCTATATAAGCGGAAATAAAAAATTCATTCTAAACAGGACTTAAACGGAGCGACCGATTGGCATTATTATTTATTGACAGATATGCATATATAAATTCACGAAGATAAATATAAAACCGAGTTATTATGGGCAATCTCTTAATTGATATTATTAGTTGATGTTCACAACTTGTAGTCGAACTGTCCTCGTAGATGAAATAACAAATCGCTCACTTAAGCCCCTATACAACGCCCCCATTTTTCTTCTTGTTATCTTGCCGCCCCCCATTAGGCCTGCAGCGCCCACAAGGGGGCGTTATTGCCCACTTTGGGAAAAGCTGCTCTAAAGATACCTTGGATAGTCGTTCTTAGGGCATTTGTCAAAAATATGAAATGATAATTATTTATTAATAATAACACAAAACAATATTACCGAAAAATATATAATAATAGAAATTTTTAAATACTTTGATATTTATAGATATAGTGATAACAATTTTGGTATTGAATACACTTTCTAAAATATCGGTTCATTTGGAAATTCACTCATACCATCTTATCATTTGATACGAACACGATTTCAATAATGTTTGTTAAAACGAGGGAGACATACTGACATAGGCAGCATTTATGAGCGACATAGCGTAATGTTATGACAACAGCGGCGCAACACAGCATACGATGTACATATATACTTTTTGTAAATATCGAGAGAGGTTTTGTACTGAATATATTTGGTGATGTTCTATGTCAAGTAGTTGATAGACTTTTGAATTGCTTTGTTTTTGTCTTTTCTCAACGGTTTTTATGGTACAATACATTTTTGTGGATTATAAAGTTTTTCATTATTTTACTTCTCCAACGAAATCACATCTGGTGCCCAACGTAAGTAAACAGTGGTTGTCGATATGGAGAAAAAAATGAAAAGAGGCATGTACAATGCCATGTTCATGAAAACGATGAAAAAGTTTTCAGAATTTATAGAAAAACAACAAGTAAAAGATGCGGAGGTAAGTTTCAAACTATTAACCCAATATATGGAGTAGATACAATCTATCGATTAAGCAGTAACTCAAGAGTTAATAGAAAATAACGCTATAGAAGAAACTATCATAAAAGAACTGGATTCAGTGGAGCAGTATAAATCACAGTTTATAGGCGTAGAGTTCGACTTAGTACAACTTTCACGAAAAGATGCAACAAGTAAATGTGGTAGTGAAAAATATACAACACGAAAAATGAGACTACCGAAAATAGAACTGCACAAATTTGATGGTGATCGAACAGTCTTATAAATTCCAATACCTTATACAATTCATTATTTCTGACTCTAGAGCAGGTGATTTAATAAATAGTTTTCCTCGTACTGGTGATAGTGTTTGCAAGTCAATCGAAAGCTTGAATTCAAGATTTGGTCGGAGCAATTTGTTGGTTAATTTATACACACGTAAGCTTATACAAGTTGTAATTGAAATTAATTTCTTTAAGTCAAGATACAACTTTCAAGTGGCAGTTCTTTATGACAAGCTGGAATCCAACCGTAGGTCATAAGAGTCCTTGAATTTTACTTCTTATGCCCGCGCATCAATATTATTTCCTCTTGTAGAGTCATCTCTGCCAGAAGAGTTACTAAGAGTTTGGCAAAAAGCCGCATATCGACTCCAGAACCAGAAAATCGCTTAAATTCACTAATCAAATTTATTACATCAAAAGCTGAAAATGAGGAAAGGATATCAATAGCAACGCGCGGTTTTGTAAACAGAAACATGACCGAGAGTAAAGCTAAAAAAGCGAGTGCCATTTCGGAAGAGGGAATTCCTACGGATTCGAGTCTGGTTTCCGGTAACACCAAAGAAATCTTATGTATATTTTATAAGTCATGAAAGCTCGACATGTAATAAAGTCAAAAAGATTACATTAGAAAAAGACAACGAGTAGTGAAAGAGAAAAACGTATGTTTTAGATGTCTGATTTTTTTTATGGGATAGGGGGCAGACGAACAGACGTATCACCTGATCGTGAGTGATTACCGCCGCCCATGGACACCTGCAACACCAAAGGAGCTACAAGCGCGCTGCCGATCTTTGAGGGACGAATATACTCTAGGCTTGAAAGTTTGAACGTCGTATCGATCCGGAAATACCGCTGGCGACAAACTGTTACAAATTCAGTCACAATTAAAAAATAAAATGCGCATGGTGTGGACGAAGACATATTTTGTTAATGTGTAGAGATGCTGCAACGCCCAGTACTTCTCAATTCAATCCTGAACATCAACAAATTATGAAAACTGTTTCTAACATATCATCAAAAAAAGTTCATCAAAATGTTTTCCTTCAAACGTTTCGAGTTAATTTACAGTATAAGGAAAAATGAAAACAGTACGAACATTAATAGATTCTGGTTCGCAGCACTCCTATTAGCAGAATATATGCAGTACAAGTCACTTGGTAATACAATAATACAACATGGACTTTTTGGTGGTTCTACGTCATTAACAGAGACTGATAATCAAAGTCGAATTTCCATGCAAAATTTGACAATGTCATTCATTTGTGATATTGACGTTTTTGACAAACAGAAAATATGCAGTGACATTGATTGAAAAATTGCACAATATGAATGTTTTTCTAACAGATATTGAACAAAGCAATGAACCGATTAGTCTATTGATTGATCAGATATGTTGGGTAAGATATTGACTTATAAGTAATATGAAACAGTTAGACAATGGATTATGTGTATACTATTAATTAACAGTCAGTTATAAATTACAAGAAGATTTATCTTGTCAGTGTATGGGTCATGCAGAGGGTCATAAAAATTTTGACATAATTGGTTTAGTGTGCCCTATTTTAGTAAAACCTAAGTTATTATTGCGAGTTTTGTGTAGTGATTACAGCGATTGGGATTCTGAGATGCCGGAAGCTCAGAAAGATGCTGATCCTAAAGTGGTATCCTCAGATACATTTGATTAATAAAATCGATATTCCAAGATGCCTTATAGGTAGTGATTGTAATGGAAAAGTATCGTTTCACTGGGTGTAGATGCGAGTCAGTACGCATATGTGGTTGTTATATTTGTTCGAATAGAGACAGATTCGACAGAGAACGTTAGATTTGTTCAGGCAAAATCCCGTTTAGCACCTAAATCTAAGAACATAACCATACCTCGTCCAGAGTTGCTCGCAGCGTCAATAGGTGCACGTCTGTTACATTCAAAAATTTAAAACCTCTTTAATGACCGAGTATGATATTTATTGTTGAGATTTAATTAGGAAATTTAGGGTCGAGTATTTGGGGTTTTTATGACGCCGAAAAAAATAATGTTATCTAAAACAGAACCTAAAATTGGAGAGGTTGTACTTGTAGGTAACGATACAGATAAGCGTATTCAGTGGCCTCTAGCAGTGATAATGGAGCTGATACACGGTAGGGATGGTAAAATACGACTTGCTAAGGTACGTACTAAGAGAGGCATTTTAGTTAGACCGAATCAAAGATTATATCCATTGGAAGTAACTTATTGACGAGGCAGTTAATGATGGTGAGAGCATCTTCTCTAGTGAGAGGATGTCGAGAGAGGTTTTATACTGATTATATTTTGTCTTTACTTTAAGTTGATGTTCTCTGTCAAGTAATTGATAGAGTTTTGTATTGCTTTGTTTTTGTTTTGTCTAAATAGTCTTTCATGGTACAATACATTTTTGTGGATTATAAGGTTTTTCATTCTTTTGATTCTCCAACGAAATCACAGTAAAGATATCTCAAAATCGGTCCTATCCCGCCATGGATATGGCATGGAGATATGTACCCCAGAATGTTTGAAATGTGTATGTAATAAAATTGCTAGCTTTCAAACTTAAAGTTTCAATTACAATATTCGTTGGTCTTTAAATATAAAATTATATTGTTTTACTTTTGTAAGAGGTTAAATAAGTTTAAGAAGCGGTAGAAATATCCAATTCATAATAGGTATTTTTTTTTGTTAAATATGAATGCTAAAATCAAAACTAATTTAAAATAATTTTTTTATTTCACATTAAGAACAACTTAATACATTATATTTCCTGTAATAAATTTACTCACTTCCGCTAAATAAATTTGTCATCCTTGAAGTAGTTTCTAAAAATTTGTATAAATGAGACAAGTATAACCTAAGCCTGTGAAACACGACTCGAGGTCCCTCCCAAGCGGGTCATCAAATTTCCGGATTACTGCCAACGTTTTGTATTTGAAATCGAAATTCGAATAATTATTTACTTAGTTGAATGTCTGAATTTCAAATAGGAATTTTACAATTGGTAAATGTTTATTGGAACTAAATACTTGCTATTTTGTTTTATATTTGTCAATCATTGGTTCGTTCAATTATCGTTTCGCTTTTATTGCTGTTTGTAATGAGCTTATTAATATTTGAATAATAAGTAAATAATTTCTTGTAATGAGTAAATAAAAAGAGAAAACCCTATTTTGGATCTCAAGCCACTCCCTTTTCGTCAGTTGTCGCAAAAATGTTATATGAAGTTGAGTATCACAAGACCGCACGGTTTTTATTTTGAAAAAAACTTGTGTGAGTTATGTATAGAGTTATATATACTCATTCTAAGTAAGCTACAGCCGTTTGTTTCATTTATTATGTAAAAAAAACTGCATCCACAGATTACACTTATAATTTTAATAATGCGAATTAACTTAATATTTGTAGATTTTTAATGAGAGAAAAATGAAAATAATAAGAGAAAAGTGCGATGCATCTCGCATCGCACTTTTTAAACTTCAGCAAAAGTTAAACTACTTAAAGTTTCTAAGCTCATATAAATTTATTAAAATCATGCAGTTATAATGAAGCTTTATGGTTATATCAGCGGTAGTATAAGCGTAATTGTTCACTTAAAGCTAAGTGCATTTCAAGTACCTAACTATGGTCTTTGGAATGAGTATGACTTTGAGCGCCGCGGCTCGCGATCGTTGTCGTTAAGCAACTTTCGCAAGGGTCGGTCACGGGATGGGTGACCAAATAATTATTATCTCGAGCTATACCTTGCTTTATAGGGCACGTTAAGCCGTTAGTCCCGGCTGCATTTACAGTCGTTAATACCCCCCAATCAGCATTGGGCCAGCGTCATGGCCTATCCTCCTTAACCATCCATAAGGAAGGCCTGAGCCCAGGCAGTGGAGACGTAAAAGGGCTGATGATGATGATGACTTCGGAAAAGGTCGACATAGTATTCAGCTAATAATTCGATAACAAACTTGCTGGTACCTTGTTTAACTACCGTAATATATCGATGAAATAATGTGCCGAAGCTCATTACGACGCGGTCTGTTCAAATATTGACTTGTGAAATTGAGTGCAAATATCTATGAAAATATGAACGTCATTTCTAATGATACAATTGAATTCTTAACGCTATATTGACAATTATCTTAATTGGGGACACCTTATTAATATTTTAATCAATAATAAAACATACACTCAAGATTCAGGGTATTGAGTCCATATAGAAAATGTCTCGGGTATATCGACGATGATGATTCTTAGTCTGGCACCGATTTCAGCAAGTTATATATAATCGTAGAATCCCTGTGTCCTTCGGTACTTACGATGAAGATTTATTTGTATCGTAATGGTAATTTAGAATATATAAAGTCGATAGCGCAGTCGTTAGCGTCACATGCAATTCGTAAGTCAAGTAACTTTCTCAAAAGGCCAGTCATTAGATAGGTGACCAATAATTTATTATCTCTGGCTCCACCTTACCGTGGAAGGCATTATACTGTAACTGACGCAGTAATAATAAATTTACAGTCATTAGCATTCACAATCCGCAGTGGGCCCACTTGGTGAGTTGGGTTCCGTTCTCCTTATTCCAATAGATTCCATTCCAACTATAACTATCACTTGTGCACAAGGAGTGGGAAAATTAATTTCATCAGCTTCTTACATTAAAAATAAATTTAAATAAAGTAATTACTAAAAAAATAAAAGCATAAAGTTCCGCAATGTGTTGATTGTCAAAAATGTATGAAACTTTGGTTTCTGAAAGAAAATAATACACAAAGTCCTTGGTAAGAAGATATGATGAAAAAGGTTGAATATAAACTACATACTACAAGTAAATTGGACATGATATTTCAGCCGTACCCCGGTTGGGAAACAATCATATAAAACTGTATTATATTATTTTCCCGGGTTGCTTTGGTCGGCGGGTACCCGGTAACGTCTCTACCATACTTCCGATGCGCAAAAAGTTATATCTTTCTAAACGAGTGAACTCATTCATACCGCTTCCGTTGCCAAGTTGACAACGAGGGACAATCGTAGCGATAAGAATTCATATTTTTACAAGTTTTTTTTTACCTGACCATTTACTGTGTCATTTACTGTGTATTAATTTGCAGAATGACATACGTTTTTTTCTAGATTCACTTGACTCCCGATGGGTCTATTATTGTGGTATCTATTTATACAAAAACATTTATGTAGACAAGAATTATTTTTCCGCTGTAGTTGCACACATGCCTTTGTTGTTTGTGTCGAAATAAACTCAGGGTTGGTTTTTGGACCTAAATTATTTATGAATAATATTCAATATAATAATACTGTTTCTCACTATTCTCACGACCATATCAAAAAGTAATCGTAGCGAAATAGGTATAAGTGGTTTAGATATAACTAAGATACAATGTATACATAAATAATAAAAGCTATTGTATATAAAATGAGTAAGATTGATTGAAGTTAAGTATAATAATTAAAGCTAGGTACTTATTTTGGAATCTGAACAATAGGTATGTGAGCTTGTCTAAATTTAATAAGTATCATAGATAATACCTATGATACTTATTTAATCAAATTGACATACTTATTTATGGAACAGATATTAATGTCTAGTTTAATTTATGAAATACTAAAGATTGTCACGAATGATAAGACATCTTCTAGCTTGACAGTTTTAGATAAAATTTGTAGACGACACTTATTGTAGATATTTTTTCTAATCGGTCCAGGTGCTTCGGATTCTATTTGTTGCAAAACAAACAATCAAATTGTTCCTTTTCATAATATTAGGACAAATTATAGTATACGTATACCCCTAAATGATTATATAAACTCAGTAGGTACCTACAAACAGCAGTAGACAAGTACATTTTTAATATAATTAATAAGGTCTTTTTATTTTTTGTGTTACCCAATGATAAATAAATATGCTGTCATTATAATAAAATAAAAGGTGAATTTGATTCGTGGATATCACAGAATTTTAAGACATTACTTGTTAAGCTTCTTTGAGGCCAACAAATTGATAAAGAGACTTAGATCTGCAGTATGTACTAAAATATGCCGCTAAACTGATAAAGACGCCACACACTATAAGTATACTCCGGCGATGTTACCCCGCCATCGCGAACTCAAAAAAAAAGTTATATGGTAGCGATTCCGTAAAAACTATTATTCTAAAATGAATATAGTTCACTTTTTTTTCAAAGTAAACTGTTAACTGAATACAATAAAATATTTTATTTTGTATTTTTTCGTGTGGTAAATAAGGTCTATACGAGCAATTTAGTTACATTACGCCAGTAAGTAATATATTGTAAACTATACGTAAACGATACTTGAAAACTATTTCATTAGGCTTTATACTCGTAAAATTTGTAGATCGTACCTTAAGGGGGTAGACAGAGAATGATAAATAATTGATAAACCATTCGGAGCTTCGAAACCATATTGAATAATACAAAACATTTTTACAAAACAAACAAAAATTTTTCGATGTTCATTTTTTATATGAACCGTAGTTGATACGATTACATGGAACGGGAAAACATCTGTTTACTGTTTCATTTCCATTTTAAAAATGTATTATGATTCCTTCCTTTTTCGCTTGAAAAACTTACAAATGAAACTACGCTGTATGCGAGAATTATTTATAAGTTTATATTTTGTATTAAATTTATTAACTTGAGTTCCCCCCGGTCTTGGCTGCATCTAATCGAAAATTTTGAAAATTGTGGCCTAGAACAAAATTTTTGTAAATGTTAGCTCTATATTCCCAGCACAGTCAATGAAAAAGAAACTATAATTTCCAAATTGAATGCTCTAGCTCCGGGAATAAAAATTAAATGTTAACAGTCCCTTTCACTTTAAGGGGCTCCAATTTGTGATGAATATTTCAATCAGTTCACTGAACAAAAACTAATAAAATTTAAGTATGTTGCTGATCGTTTACTAAAAATTAATAATCAAATGGCTTTTACAGTTATGCGTTGTTGTCTGTTTGTTCCTCAATATACCAGTGATTTTACGTTCAGCACCTTTTTGGAAACATACCTTACACTTTTAATGGACAAAGCAATAAAAGAAAGTGTTTCCACTTTACTGAATATCGATATTAGTGACAAAATTCGGGAGCAGGCTTCGCTTCTTATACGCTTCGGAGGTCTAAGTTTACGTAAAATTTCTAGTGTTGCTTTTCCAGTATTTTTTTCTTCAGTCCATAGCACCTATGACCTGAATAAAATAATATTATGTAAAACATCTTAAACCGCTGTTATCTCCAATATGGCCGAGGTAAAAACTGCTTGAAAAAACACTTCTAAATAATATTTTTTATTATCCCCATGGTTTTCTTCTCTTATAAAATACCAGTATTATAAAAAAATATAAAAATAAAAACACCATTATATAGACACGGGTAAAAAGAAATCGAGTTATATAATGGGTTTTTAGTGCCATGTGTACTTGTCACTTCCACACGCCCCTAAAAACTTTTGTTTTCCTTTATGGCGGGCTACACTAAGGAGAAATGTACACATTCAGAATGATGGAGATTGCCACTTTTAGTTCTATTTTCAAAAACAACATTTTCTTCTTAATGTTACAGTACCTACATTATAATGTCGAATGTATACATATGAGCATTATAAATAAAGACTTTTCAGCATGCTTGTTAGACAAAGTCACAAATAAAAAAAAATCCTCTAAAGTAGGAATTACTTTCATAATAACTTATGGACGGTCTTTGACGTCAAGAGAGTCATGTCAGATACTCTAAGAAGACTGTAGTCAAGAGAAATAATTACTTGAGAAATTGTCATAACTTAAGCAAATATTTTTATCAGATACAATCGAATTTAAATTTAGAATAGTATTATTACATTAGCTATTGACAGTTCTTACTTCATTCGAATTCTTATCTATTGGTAAAAAATATCGGTATTTCAGATTATGACATTTTCTCAAGTAGTTACTTCTTTCGACTATAGATACGAGTGTAAGATAAGCTTTATATCAGAGGTGAACATTTAACTTTTCACATCCTTTACGATGGAACAAGAAGAAAGTACTCCAAAAATAATCTTATTTTTATATATTAATTAGTACCATTTCATCAGTGACTTCTTAAGATTTGTTTTACTATAACAGTTCATAAAATATCGTAGTTTGTCGAACAGAAGGTGATGAGTACTTTAATGATTCACAAAATTTCATGTTATATTATTGGAAACCTACAAAACACAACAAAGTTTTTTGACAATTTCTAAAACAATAAGAATAAGAAACTTATTTCACAATACTTTGATTCAGACTCTATTACTTCTTTGAATGATATATTTATATACGATACAGATTATGCAACTATTTTTAATTATATAATTGTAATCGTATAGTATTAATACATCTAATAGTAGCTTAAATGTTACATGAAAAGTACTTATTTGATATTCAATTAATTCATTCGGGTTTAGTAAATCTTAGATTTATATTTGGTAATTACCTAAAGTTTTAAGACAGGCAGCTTATCGTTTTAATTGTTTACAATTTAACATTTCGTATAAAGGCAAATTATTGGCCACTGCAATCTACCAAAAAGTTTATAATTATATTTTGTTACCAATTAACAAAGGTTTACAACTTGTCTTTTTGGTAGTTTTCCTTTTATTGGTTTCTACCGAAATTAGTTTTCATCTAACTAATATTATTGAACCTGCTCAAAAGTGGGAGAACCTGCATTAAAAAAAAAAAACTAATATTATTGTGACCTAACTTAGTCATTTCGATTTTGTTTGGTGAAAGTCGATACCATCAACTAATCATACTTTAAAAGAATATTGTGTCCAAAAACATTACGCATTATATGACATCAGTACCTAGATGACCGAGCTTTGCCCGTTCTTGTTTCTGGTAAATCGTGTTTTTCGTTATATTTAGTTGGCAACGTTTACTGTCTTGAGTACAGCAATGCTATTCTGTTAAATAAAGCCTCGAACTTCATCAAGCCAAGCACTGTCACATCAAAGCTCCTATGAAGTATAACTTTTATTACCTTTTAATATAGGTTTTATTTTTCTGATGATAGCGCTGCATTCTTCAACTAGTACATTATAATCTAGTAATCTGCAGAGAGGTAAAAATGTACGTAATTTATATTTGTTTTCTTATAGCGCTTCGAATGGCCAGTTTCGAGCCCTGTGGGCACTGGCGAGGTGTTGACGCTTCAGCTTCTGTCACGTGGCCGCTGGGGCCATCCCAGAGTGCTGGGCGTCTACCGCCTGGGCTTGCAGATCCTCGTCGCCGATGGTCAGCTTTTCGTCACCGACACTCTTGTAGATAACAACAACAAAGCTGTTCCAGTGAGTAATTTGTTGCAAATTGTAATTTCCTAACTGATCAGTCTATGCAATAGCGGTTATTAGATTCAGTCTGCGATTACAAACTATTTTCGTAAGGTCGGTCATCAGATGGGTGACCAAAAATTTATTATAACCAACGCTTTTGACAATCTACTAAATCCTTCAATTTTATTTTAAATGTAGCTGTGTAGTCTGATGTACGATTAAGAACTGGTCATTATAGAAAAGTCATTTTCTAAAAATATAGAAATTAAACGTTTTTATATATATTATTTTATAAAATCAGTCCAACTGACCTCATATTATGTAGCGATTAAAAGCTACCGATGTCGAAACGTCCAGTAATTAAAACGGCAGGGTGGGCTTGGCAATAAACACGCTGACTGCGCATCGCACAAGAAACAAAAGAAAATATCGCATGCTCTGTTTATGAATGAATGAATACACTTTATTGCTAACAATTTCAGTTATACAAAACATTTACAATCAAAACCAAACACACAAGGCGGCCTTATTGCTAAGTTAGCAATTTCTTCCAGGCTACCCTTGACCAAAGGATATGGAAAAAATAAATAACTTGAAATATCGTGTTATTTACAAGTACGAGTTACACCGTGGTACCAGTGCAGCGGAAACGGTTCGAAAGGTTAATGATGTGTATGGCAGTTGTGTCGTAAAAGAAAATACAGAGCGTTTTTGGTTCTAACGTTTTAGTTCTGGGAATTTCGACCTACAGAACAAGCCACGTGGACGGCCGGAGACCCAAGTTAATAATGAAGAATTGAAGGACATTGTGAAAGCGGATCCATCGCAAACCACGACCGAGTTAGCTACAGGCAACAGTGTTAGTGATAAAACTGTTTCATCCACTTGAAGCAAACTGGAAAGATTAAAAAGCTTGAAAGGTGGGTATCTCACGAATTGAGTGAAGCAAACCGGCAAACGCGTTTCGACTGCTGCGTTACATTACTTAACCTGCACAATAATGAAGGGTTTTTAAATCGAATCGTTACCTGTGATGAAAAGTGGATTCTCTGTGATAAGTACTCATCGCAATGGTTGGACCCTGGCATGCCAGCCAAATCCTACCCCAAGCGAAAAAAGCTACTTGTAAGCGTTTGGTGGTCTATTGTCAGCAATTGCAATCCATTCTGGAAAAACTAGCTGTTAAACAACCGAGGCTGGTCAATCGCTGTACGCCACTGCTACTCCACGACAACGCTAGACCACACACTGCACTACAGACGGTATGGTATTTACCAAATAGGTAAATACCATACAACTAGGAAATGATGTAGGTATTTTTACAGCAAAATTAAAAAATGACTGAACTCCAGATATTTACTCTGGAGCGTTTAATTTAATCAGAAAACCCTCTAAATATCATCTTCGAGATGAAAATAGTTTTTAAAATAGTACACAAAATTACGCAATTTCTTGTTCGGTTCTTCAAGGCGTTACAGAACAATCTGTTTGATATAATTATATTATTAAGTTTCAGAATACTTGTTATACAACTTGAGATTTAAACTTTGGAAATTAATCAAACGAATTTGGAAAGTCGAATTTATTGCTTTATCACCGTTTTTGAGGTTTGTTAAAACTTTTATTAAAGAGAGAAAATACACTCAATGAAAAATACTTAAGCATCGACTTTGTCTCTGGTACTCTGAGATGGGACAAACGAACCCATGACCTTTCGCAATCCGGGCGACTGCTCTAACCACTGATAACTCGGGAAACTTAACAGGACTGACGAATTTTTCAAGCACTTTTGTTCTTTTTCGCTACTACAGAGCGTATTTTCATAAATGTTCAGACAATCCACCCAAACAGCCGAAATATAGAACTTTTTGGCGGGCTTTTGAACGCACTAGGCGCTAATTTTAAAACTTTCTTTAATAATTTCATTTTATTTTCTTTTCTTTTGTATATTTCTGTAAATAATAGTGTAAAATAATTATTAACATTTGTAAATATAAATAATTATGCCGGACGGGGATGACCCGCCCGGCGGGACCGAAAAACGAAAAGCTCCCAACAGAACGAGCGATGCAGATAAGGATGCTTCGGAAGATTTTTATAAACCTTTCATCAAACACGGATATAAAAGACTTTTTGCTGATAATGCGGTGAGTGCTGAGTATTGTGTTTTCGTCGAAAGTTACAAAGAACACGAAAAACTAGGAAACAACAACCCGATCGTCACGACCAATCTTTTCAAAAATGAAGTTAAAGGCATTGTTAACATAAAAAGAGTCAATCAAAATAAAATTTGTGTGACCTTCTCACAATCTAACCACGCCAACAATTTTTTACAAAATGAAGAATTCTTAGTAAAACATAAATTCAAGGCATACATCCCAGCGTCGGCAGTTGAGACTATAGGAGTTCTACGTTTCGTACCCACTAGTATCAGCAATGAAGAGCTATTTAAAAAACTAAGTTCCCCATATGAAATCGTAGCCGTTCGCAGATTCACCAAAAAAGAGAATGGCGTTTTAAAAACTTTTAAGACTGTCAGTATAACTTTTCTTTCAAATGTACTCCCCGATTATATATATTTAGATTTATTTAGATTTAAAGTTCATGAATATAATGCACCCTTACTACAATGTTTCAAATGTTTTAAATTCAATCATGGCGCGAAAATTTGTAAATCTACCCAGAAATGTTCAATTTGCTCAGAAGAGCATCACTTTTCACAGTGTACCGACAAAACAATGAGATGTATTAATTGTCAAGGCCCCCATTTAGCGATTTCTCGTGAGTGTCCGTTAAAAAAACAAAAAATAGAGGACAAAAAAAACAAAGTATCTTATTCTAAGGCTGTTTCGTCTGGAAGAGACAACATCAATAAGAATGATGTATTAAAAAACTATAAAAATAATTTCCCTCTACTACCAACCCCTAAAATTAGACCCGCACTTCCAAAGAAAACTCAGGGATTGAACCCGGTACCTAATACTTCAACAAGCGCCGACAATATCACAAATGACTCCGTACCAAAATTATCCAACGAAAAACTAATAGACGAAATTATTAAAAACGATTTTATTCGTAAGGCTTTGGTTGGCGTTCTAGTCACTATTGGAAATGAGGAAAGAGCTATAACTAGCAATGTTATACAAGATATTTTAATAAAAACTTTAAAACCTGAACACGAATGGACCAAGGTCTAATTAGAATATCTCAATATAACATTGAAGGTGTTCAAAATAAAAAACCTCTTCTTATTAATTACCTTCGCAATAACAATATAGATGTTTGTTTATTAAATGAAACTTGGCTTAAAGAAAATCACAATTTCCGTATCCCCAATTACAACAGCATTAATCAAATTAGTATAGGCGGTCGTGGTGGAGTTTCAATTTTAATTAAAGACCCATATAAATATTCCATATTATCAGTTCCATTTTATGAAGAGTTACAATCTGTTGCTATAATTTTATATACAGGCACTGGGAAATTAACATTATTATGTATTTATTGTCCTCCTTCGAAACAAGGTCGACCGAGCTTCCAAAGTAATAAGCTAAAGAAAGTCATTAATGATCTACCTAAACCAATTATGGTATCTGGTGACTTTAATGCTCATCACGTAGCATTTGGGTGTTTAACATGTAACAGCCGTGGTAATGATATCTACAATATATTTGATGATTGTGACTTGTGTATATTAAACTCTGGTTCAGCAACCACAGTAGGTCGACCAGGCTATAATCCATCTGCAATTGACGTTAGTTGTATAAGTCCTTCTGTAGCTCCTTTATGTACCTGGAGCGTACACTCAGATTCTATGGGAAGCTATCACTTCCCAACTATTGTCGATATTCAGGTCTCTATTGAAAAATACGTAGTAGGACCCCCGAATGAACGATATATATATAGTAAAGCTAACTGGAATAGATTTACAATAGAAAGTGAAAATGCGTTTAATAATGTTGTCTTAAGTCATGTTAATCCAATGAACTCCTATGAAAGATTTTGTATGATACTAAATGAATTAAAAGAAAAATATATACCGAAATTTAAAAAAGATATCCCCTCACTTATTAAAAAGCCCGCCCCCTGGTGGGATGATCAGTGTAAGGATGCAGTCAAAAAAAGTAAAGATGCATTAAATTTTTACAGATCTAATCCAACGATTGAAAACTATATTTCGTATAAAAAAATAGATGCTTCAAAAAAATTACTGCTTAGGGAAAAGAAAAAAAATAGTTGGGCGAAATTATGTGAAAGTTTTAATAGGTATACTCCAATAAGTAACATTTGGAATTACATAAGAAGGTTTAAAAGGGCATCTTCCCCGAAACAGCCAAAGAATGATGAATGGATTTCAGACTTCTTAGAAAAATATGCACCACTATCAGCTCCTGGAAAAAACATAGATTTTGTTAATCTGGAAACAGCTTTTAACTTTAATGGACATTCAAATGCTCATTTTCTTACAGAACCATTTACATTTGAAGAACTTGAAATTTCTTTAAAATCTAGGAAAGACACCAGTCCGGGCCTTGACGATATAACTTACATTCTCATTAAAAAATTACACAAGAATGCACAAACAAAATTACTCGACATTTATAATAGTCTTTGGGAATTACAAATGATACCATCTACCTGGAAAACACAATGTGTGATTCCAATATTGAAATCCAATAAACCCGCAGGTGACAGTGATTCATATAGACCTATATCTTTGTCCTCCTGTTTAGGTAAAGTGTTTGAAAATATGTTAAAAGTAAGATTAGATTATTATTTAGAGAGTAACAATATATTACCTGCAGAACAATTTGGCTTCCGGAAAGGTCGTAGTGCAACAGAGAGCTTCACAACATTAATACATGACATAAAATCATCTTTCCTTAGTCATTCTGCAACAGTATGTACATTCCTAGATATTAAAGGAGCATTTGATAATGTGGATCCCTCTGTACTAACACAAGTTCTGTTTGAAATAGGTATTCCTGGAAAAGTAAATAAATGGATATTTAATTTTCTTTATGAAAGGATTATGTATTTAAAATATAACAATATACTTCACGAACCACGAAAAGTTTATAAGGGAACAATGCAAGGAGCAACCATATCCCCTATATTATACAATATATATACCTGTCAGATCAAACAATTTTTAAAAGAAAAAGATGTACATTTTTTACAATTTGCAGACGATCTCC